CCGGGGGGGGGAGGGCCGGCAGGGAGCCCGCAGGAGGGGAGGCAGGGGCTGCCTGGGATGGAGGTGGATGGGATGACAGATCAGGAAGCCGGGTGGGTGGGCCCTGCCCTATCCCCCCCTCCGCCCCCACTATCGCCCCCACCCGGTCAGCGCTCACCATGTGGTAGGTGACCATCTCCTGCAGGCTGTCTCCGAACCTCTGCAGACATTCCTGGGGGCAGGGTGGGTGGGTGGGGGAAGACCCTTGCTCAGATGGGATGGCTGTGCCCCCAGTGTCCGGCACCTCCCGCCCACAGGCCGCAGCCCAGTGCAGACGTCCACCTGCTCCCAAGGCCAGGGCACCCTGAGGGGCTGTCTGCCCTCGCCTGCCCCTGACTAGAGGTCAGAGGTCAGCTGCCCCCTCACCGAGATGACGGTGTCACCCTGGCACTGCTGGGACAGGTCGCGGACGCCACTCACGAAGAGCCTGTTGGTGGTGACGTAGGCCTTGCCAGCCTCGATCACACCGCTGCACAGCTTCACCAGCTGCGGACGGGACGACGGATGGGGCAACACTCACGCCACCAAGAGGCCAGGCCGCACGGGCAGGGACCCGGACAGGGCAGCCGGAATTCAGCTCAGGGTCCGTCAGTGCCCAGGACACAGCTGCCCCCGAGCAGCCCCGGGCGGGAAGGGAAGGCCACTGCCCGCCCGCCCACCCGGTGCTGGGGGACAGCTTGGCATGCCCCAGGCCTCGGCTCCAGGGTGGAAGGTGGGAGGCAAGCCAGGAGCAGGGAACCCAGGGCCAGGGGGGGCATGTGGTCCTGGACAAGGGTCAGCAGGACCCAGCCAGCGAGGGGCTCAGGGGTGCCACCCCTCCTTCCTCCCTCTGGCTTTGAAGCCTGTGCCCTCCTCCCTCCCCTGCCTGTGCCCTTGGCCCCTAACCCAGGCACTCGGAGGCACAGCCCCCTGGCAGCTGCCCCCGCCCCCCGCCAAGGTCCCCCACCCTGCTTGGCTCAGCGGGAGGAGACCCCGCAGACAGGTGTGTGTGTGGGATGTACACCCTGGTATGGGTGTGACAGGCCGGTGATGGACAGGCGCACGTACTGTGCACACACACACCCGCGCTCACACTGGTGGCCATGGGTGAGCTGGGCCAGGGCCGCGTGGGGGAGGGGGAGTCGCCCCGGGCCCTCCGTGTGCCCCGGGCCGCCTCACCTTGTCCAGTTTGGCCTCGATCTCGACCACGTCCGTTTCCACCTCGTCAATAGTTGCCCTGCGACAGGGACAGGGTGGCTGGAGACCCACCTGCAGCGAGCCTCCCCCACCGACTCAGCTCGGCCTCGTCTCCCAGGCACCTCCCCAAAGGGGTCAGCAGTGGGAAGGGGCTACTCTGCCGATGGCCACTGGCTCCTGCAGGCCCACTTGCCTCCACACGCCCCTCAGACAGACCAGGAGGTGGAGGATGGCGGTGAGGGGCGATGGAAGCGGGAGGGGGAGAGGGGGCAGGACTGGGACCGTGACTCCCAGGGCCCACTGCCACCCCAGGCACATAGAGGCCCAGCTGGCTGTGATGCCCCCATCTGGGGTCTGTGGGCGGGCGGGGGGTAGGGGAGAAGGGGGTGGCCAGACAGGTCCCTAGCACAGAGGGAGGGGCTGGGTCCCGTGGAGGTGCACGTGCAGGGCCTCGCTGGTCACCCCCCCGGCCCAGCCCCTGCACCTCTCCAGGGCTCAGGGTTGACTCCGAACCCCATCTGGACCCCCACCCTCACCCCTCAGCTTCTGCTGCAGCCCACCCCGGCCTGGGGCTGGCAGGCCCCGGGGCAGACCTGTCTCAGCAGCTCTGCGGCCCGTGAGACGCCTGCAGAGGTGTGCCCCTACCTCCTGCCTACTCCCCAAGCTCAGAACGCCAAGTAGGCCTTGTCTGCTTGGCAGGAGCAGTGGGCCAGACCCCGGAGGAGCCCACTCCCACGGGGGCGGCCTGCCAATGGGGCTGCCTTGGGGAGGGAAGAGTTAATGTCTGACATCACCAGAGAAGCCAGTGGACGGAGAATCCCCGGAAGGCAAGGCGAGAGGCAGATGGATCAGGCACGTGACAACCCCCAACACTCCGGGAACAGGAAATAGGGAAACAGGGCCAGGATCCTGCCCTCCCCACCCCACTCAGCTGGCGAGCGGGGCCGTCTGGCCTCCTGGGGACCAGGGACAACAGGGAAGGAGCTCCGGCCAGCGGCCAGAGGCAGGGCCAGGGCCAGGGCAGGGCCAGGCAGAGAGGAGGCTGTCCAGGTCTAGCGGCCCATCGCTGGCCCCTCGCTGCCCCCGCAGCTGGCAGAGGAGGGGCGTGTTCCAGGCTTTCCCAGGCCTGGGGGGAGGGACTTAGTCCCTCATGCGGGGTGCAGCTCCGGACACCCTCAATTAGGAGGTATGGGGTGAGTGCCAGGCTGCCCCGTCAGGACCCTTGGACCGTCCCACCACCCTCCTCCTCTCTGAGCAGCCCCTATCCCTTCTCCACGGGCTGAGGGGCGTCTGAGTTCCAGAGAAGGAAGGGATCAGAGGAGACGGGTGGTGGCCCACGGCCTGCAGGTGCCCCCGCCTGAGACTGCAGGACCCTGACGGCTGCTGTAGCCTCCCCCTCTCCATCCCCCTCCCCCTCCAAGAGTCCCAGGGCAGGGAAGGACCACCCACCCAGAAGAGGGGGATGCGGCTCCTGGAGGCCCAGCCGCCCCAACTGCCCTGGCCAGCTGCGTGGAGAGCTGTCACCCTTGGGCTGGGATGGGGGGTTGGTCCCTAGAGAGCTGATGAGGGTGGGATGCACCAGAGGCTAACAAGTGTGCTCATGGGGACAATGTGGGCGCTCAGCAGAGAGTCTGTCCCGGGGGCCCCACACCCCTCAGGTCTCTCCTCCCCACCCCCATGGACCAAGGCCTCCTCTCCTGCTCTCCCTCCAGGATTTCCTCAACAGCTTGGATGCTGGGGAAGAGGGTGAGGCCAGCTCCCCCAACAGAGCCATGACTCAGCGCCTGAAGCCCCACCCAGGGGAGGGGGCACCAAGAACGAGGGGTGAGCGGCACCCCGCCGGTCTGAGAGAGTCTGGACCCCTCCAGCCACGTGCATCCCGGGGCTGTGGGGCTTCCCCAGGCCAAGAGCGCGTAGGCAGGGTCCCCCTTCCCAGGGCTGGGGCTCCCATCGCTGACCACACTCTCCTGCCTGGCCCCGCCCTAACCCCCTGTCCCCAGGCTGGCCTCCAGGAAGTCCAGGTTACATCCTCAGCGGCACTGACAAGGGGACCCCAGAAAAGCCTCAAAAGCCATCACACCTCAGCCCAACCAAAACCCACCCAGGGCAGCTTCTGTGGCCCAAGGCCGGGGGATCTCCTCGGACCCCAGCCCGGTCTCGGCTGGGCACTCTCCAGGGAAGTCTGGCAAAGCCCAGGCGCCGCTGCGCCCACTGCCGCACCGTGGGTGCCACCAGCGAGCAGGCTGGTGTGGGAGGGAAGGCCTGGAGGTGAATGGGGTGCCAGCGGCCCTGATCCAACCGGGCAAGCTGGGCCTGGGCCCCTCCGCGACAGGAGGGGGAGCACAAGGCTCCGCAGCCGGGGGCCAGGGTGACGCTGGGGGCCCAGGATCACGGGTGCCGAGTCGCTTACACCCCTCCCTCAAGCAGTCAGGAACAGAAGATGGGAGAACACAGAGAGTGGGCCTCAGCACTCTGCCCGGGGCCTGGGGCCACTCTCTGGTCTGACCCCTACCCCTCATCCAGCCTTTCTTGGCTTTTGTTGCTGACCCCTTGTGTGGCGGTTGGGCAAGGGGCTGGCTCTAGGGAGTCGGGGGTAAGGGCACTGATGCTGAGGCCCGCCAGACACCCCCACACAGGCCCTCTGGCTAACACATCCCAAAGACCCAGCGCACGCGCGCGCACACTCACACTCGGCCAAGTGCGAGTGTGCAGAGGCATGGCAGATATGCACACATGCCATCAAACATGCGTGCACGCAGCAGCGCAACGCACACGCAGACAGGTGTACTTGTGGATACCGTGTATAGACACGTACCCCGTGCTGAGATGCACACAGAAACAAACTAACGTATGCTTAGTGCCTAAACTCACACTTTTATGATACACACTCACTATGCATCTGTATTCACACCCAGAGGGGACACATGCACACGTGTGCGTGCACCCAGCACTAGTCTGGACGCACGCATTAAGCAGCCAGTCCAGGGGTGCACAGCTAACCCACACATTCACGTCCAAGGTCTGGCACCTCAAGGAAGGGTGCAGAGGGGCAGAACTCACACGTGTGCACCCGAGCACGAGCACAAGCATGAGCACCTGACACACGGGAGGTGCCCCGTTAAAGCAGATGCGCGCGCACCATGAACGTGTCCACACGGATAAGCCCGCCTGCTCCCAGGAAGGACTAAAAGCACAAACCCAGGGCCGGCCACAGCGCAGACCTCCACCAGTCCCTGGAACCCAGTCTGCTCTGGTAGCGCCCACCCCGCCAGGTGCCTAGGTCACCCCTGCCAAGCAGCCGCCCGAGGCCCTAACCGAGGCTCCAGCTGCCTGCCCCCTTGACTGCTATGGGCACGAGGACCAAGACAGATTCCATGGGCAGACGCCCCACGCACGCAGACGACCCTGGCCACAGCCGGGCTGCAGCGGCCGGCTAGGTCTCAGCCCTGTGCAGGTGGCCAGCACGAAGGTGCAGACACAAAGCGGGGCGGACACTCCCACGGAGAGGTGGCCGCGCCGGCGGCCGCCCCGCCCCACGCGCGCACCCTCCGCGCGCGGCGACCAGCACAAGGGGCATCTTTTGTTCCGGGCTCTCGGGCCGGGGCGCTGCGGGCTTTGTACAAGACGTGTCCTCCTGCTCTCGCCTCCGGCCCCGGCGCCGGGCACAAAGGTGGCCCCGGCGCCCCCGCCCGCGCCCATCCCCCGGCGGCCCCGGGTGCCCCGAGGGGCGGCGACCCCGCAGATCACAAAGGGCCGCGCCGCGCCCCGGGGGCGCACCTGAAGCGCGGCGAGTCCTTGATGCACTCCTCGAACTCCACCGTCATGGCTGCGGCGGCGCGAGGCGCTCACTGGCACGAGGACGGCGGCGCCCCGAGCGGCATCCCCTGCCGGCCCGCCCGCCTGCGCCGCGCCGCGCCGCGCCGTGCTCGGCGCCCGCCCGCCCCGGAACGAGGCCGCAGCGCCACCGCCCCGCCCCGCCTGTCACCGCCGGGGAGCGTCGCTAAAGTACGCCGTCCGCCCTCGACGCCCGCTGTCACCGCCGGGGAGCGTCGCCAAACGCCCCGACGTCCCGCCCCCTTCGTCCGGGCAGGAGGTCGGAAGTGTGGGTGGGCCCAGCAACAGCCGCGGGAGCCGTCGGGCCCCGCGCGTTCCAGCGATCCGGCCGTTAGGCAACCCGGGGAATTGGCAACAAGCGCTCGGCCGGACTGCGGCGGGAGGATGGGGGCGGGGGCGAATGTGTGGCTGGGGGAACGTGCGAGTCTGCGTGGGGCTGTCCCCTGGGTCGGCACTTTGCACCCGCTCCCTAAGTCTGGCCCCGCCTCCGCCCCCGCCCTGGGAGGCCGACCGAGGCTGCCTGGGCGGGGCGAAAGCCCAGGCGCAGGCGCGGGAGCGGCCCGGGGGCGTGACCAAACTGGGTTCGCGGGCGCGCGCGGGCACGCGCCGGCGCAGCCCCACATGCCGCCCCAGTCCGCCTGGCGCTCCGCGGGGTCCGGTTCCGCCTGGCCCTCCGCCTGCCCCGATGCCGGGTCCGGCCTGGCCATGGGCGCGGGCTCAGTGCGGGCGCGGTACCTCGTGTACTTCCAGTACTTGGGCACGGACTTTAAGTACGTCCTCTAGGCCTCCCACCCGTGCCCGCAACCCCCTCGTGTAGCTCGGCCCCGCGGGAAGCACCCGAGCTCGAGCCGGGGAGCAGCCGACGGCCGGCGCCCGAGGGGTTGGAGGGAGCTAAGTTTAGGGCCCGCACCTCCGGCCTCGGGCCCCGGCCTCCCGGGCATGGAACGGCCGCCTTTGGCCGCTTAAGATGGGACGGGCGGGGTCCGGGGCGGGGCGGGGCGGCCTCGCGCGCTAACCTCCGCCCGCCCTGCCTACAGCGGGGTCGCGGCAGTCAGGGGCGCCCAGCACGCCATCGGAGTCCAGAACTACCTGGAGGTGAGCTCCGCCGGCCCGCGCCAGGGAGGGGTGAGGGAGGAGGGCGACCCGGGGGTGGGACAGATGGGAACCCCGCCCGCGGCCGCTGTGCGCTCCCCGCCCCCCTCAGGAGGCCGCAGAGCGGCTGAACTCGGTGGTGCCGGTAAAGTTCACTATCTCCAGCCGCACGGATGCTGGGGTCCATGCCCTGAGCAACGCGGCGCACCTGGACGTCCAGCGCCGCTCAGGCTGGCCCCCCTTCTCCCCTGAAGTCCTGACGCAAGCCCTCAACAGTCACCTGAGGCACCCGGCCATCCGGTGAGCACCTCTCTGCTCTCCCGGAACTCGTCCATTATGGTGGAGGCGGGAGGTGAAGGAGGACTCTGTATCTGGACAGAACTCCTTGGGGGCGATGGCAGAGATGCCAGGGTGTCACATGGACAGGGCAGGGGGTCATTCCTGGCCTCGTTCCCACAGGGTACTGCAGGCCTTCCGTGTGCCCAGCCACTTCCACGCCCGCCACGCAGCCACGTCCAGGACCTACCTGTACCGTCTGGTTACCGGCTGCCGCAGGCCTGACCAGCTGCCCGTGTTTGAACGAAACCGGTGCTGGGCGCTTCGGGCTGAGTGAGTGGGTGTGAAAGTGACTCTGCGGGGCTTGCCAGGCTCGCCTGGCCGGCCATTCGCTCCTGACCACTCACCTGGCTCCCTGCAGCTGCTTGGACGTGGCTGCCATGCGGGAGGCCGCCCAGCACCTCCTGGGGACACATGATTTCAGGGCCTTCCAGTCGGCTGGCAGCCCGGCCACCAGCCCGGTGCGCACCCTGCGCCGAGCCTCCGTGTCTCCAGACCCTGCCAGCAGCCCCTTTGTCCTCCCTGAGGAGAGCAGGTGAGAAGGGCAGCCTACACTCTGGTCTGGAGGCTGCAAAGGCTGGATTTAGCTCCAGCACCTTCCCTGGCGCTGCACTGGGGGTTCCCTGGGCACCCGTCAGCCTTGGGGGAGGAGGTGGTGCCGGTCAGCCGAGTGGTGTGGCCCCAACACCCGTGAGCCTGCAGCTGTGCCCTCACCTGGGCTAGGGTCCTGCCAGGCTGGGGGGCAGAGGGCAGAGAAGGCTGCCTAACCTGCCAAGAGCTCACTGCCTCGTGGATGGATCCCGGCAGTCGGTGAAAAGACTCCACTGGGGGAGCAGCAGCGAGCCAGTGGTTCGTTTGGGCCCAGGCTGGCAGGGGGTCGGTTCCACTGCCCCCAGCACTGTCCCAGGGGCCTCCGGCCAGGCCGCAGCTACTGACTTCCAGAGCCTTCCCACTTGGGCCCAGCACTGAAGGGAGGAGGGACTTTGCACAGCCAGCTTCCAAGCCTCCAACTCCTGCTGGAGAGCCCAAGCCCCAGGGCTTGAGTCCCTGGGAGAGGAGCTGGCCGCTCCACCTCCTTGGCAGCCCCCGAGCCCACGGCCTCCTCCTACAGCCAAGACCCCGGAGGCGCTGCTGTCCCCGCTCACAAGCAGCAGTCCTCTGGTTTTAGTCTCCCTTCCACCAGTTTCATTTATAAGGGCTTGGGGGGGAGTAAGTGGGGGCCCCTGGGGTGGGACGCAGGGAGGCCACACTGGAGGGTTGAGGCTGCCCTGAGGCCCAGACCTCATGGGCCCCTGTGTCCCCAGGCGGTTGCGGTTCTGGAGCCTGGAGTTTGAGAGCCAGTCCTTCCTATACAGACAGGTGGGCTGTGTCCTGGGGCCCTGCCCGGGGTGGGGCCTGGGGCTCGGGCGGCTGCAGCACTCTTCACCTTGGGTCACAGGTGCGGAGAATGACATCTGTGCTGGTGGCCGTGGGGCTGGGGGCTTTGATGCCTGCTCAGGTGAAGGTGATTCTGGAAAGCCAGGACCCTCTGGGCAGGCACCAGAGCCGTGTGGCTCCCGCCCACGGCTTGTTCCTGAAGGCGGTGCTCTACGAGGGCTTCGGTAAGAGGCGGCGTGGAGAGATTCCCTGCTTGTACCCCGAGGTCCCTGCTTGTACCCCGTTGACTGATGGACTCCTCCCAAGGCTGAGTCCTTGCCGCAGGAGGGGCTCTCAGTGGCAGTGCTGTCCCAGCAGCTGGGACTCCAGCCTGTGGCCAAGCCCCAGCCTGGCCCTGTGGGGAGGGAGGCTGAGAGAGCGTTCAGAAGGCAGCAGAGGGTAGAGAGGGGCCTGAACTCGGGCAAAAGCAGGGGGCTCTGCAGTCCTGCTGCAGAGGGTAGAGAGGGGCCTGAACTCGGGCAAAAGCAGGGGGCTCTGCAGTCCTGCTGCAGAGGGTAGAGAGGGGCCTGAACTCGGGCAAAAGCAGGGGGCTCTGCAGTCCTGCTGCAGAGGGTAGAGAGGGGCCTGAACTCGGGCAAAAGCAGGGGGCTCTGCAGTCCTGCTGA